AAGAAAAGCTGCACAACCTGTGAGAGTCAAAGAGTTAAGAGCTAATTTGTTGCTCTCAGGTTGAAGTGGAAAGCGACTGCCTGTTTTAGCCTTTTGACCTAACATTAAATCTCCTCGGGGAAGAGGTAAAATGATTTGGGGGATAACTTGACTCGTTTATCTTTGTGCTCAATTTCATCCAAACAGGTAAAAATATTTGCCTGGTGTATATTATGATATGATTATCTGACGACTGAAAAATGTGGACTGAATTATAAAGACTGGATTTCTAATTTTTAATAAAACCTTCACTGTTTCACAGTTTATTTTTCCCCTAACTTACAAAGAGCTTTTATAATCATAAGAAAGTGGCTTTATTCATCCATCCTTTATAAATACATACTGAACACCTATTATGTGGTGGGCAAAAAAATCATGTACACATAAAAGCATTCTATGATTTGGTATATAGGAATATAATTACATTTATTGCTATTTCCAAAAATTTCTTGTTAAATTCTGTTGTGATCAGAAAACGTGCTCTGTAAAACCTCGATCTTTTAAATTTATTAAGAATTACTTTGTAGCCCAACACATTCTGTCCTGGTGAATATTCCATGTACACTTGAAAAGAATGTGTATTCTGTAGTTGTTGAAGGTATAAATATGTCATTATATAAAATGGTAGATACAGGTCTCTTTTATCTTTGCCTTTTTAAATCTCTCATTGTTCAATAAATTACTGAGAGTATTTTTACAGACTTCAACTATTATTGTGAATTTGTCTATTCCCTGGCTTACAGCTTTTTTTTTTCTTTTTGTATGACAGTTGAGAAAACTACCCTGTGAAAATGTATGGCAGCTTTTAACATCTTTCACACAATAAAGATAGTAGTCAGTAATTACAAGTATTAAACAGTGATGAAATACTCTATGGATATGCCAGTTCAAGTCACTATATTCATTCAGACATAAAACCATTTTAGAACTTACTTTGTGCCAGGTCACATGGTAGATACAGATAACAGACATATTCTCCACCCTTGAGAATCTCCTTCCCCAGATATATAAGTAAACCATCTAAACACTTACAATATTATATATTCTACAACAGAGAAAGTAATCATTACAAAAGATAATGCTTATGTAATTGTCAAATTCTATTTAAATAAATCCAAATTTATTCTAATACCTCAAATTACATTTAGACATTCCATGCCTGGCATAATGAGAAATATCTTAGTGTTATAAAAAACTGTTGGACTTGGTGCTAGAGGTGAGTTTGAATCTAGACTCTGTCATTAACTGTTTGTTTAACCTTGGGCAGTTGCCCAGCTGAATCTGTTTCCTCAATTATAAAATGAAATAAATATTAAGACATGTATGAAGTAGTTTTTAAGATTAAGTGAAGAATGTTTAAAAGAACTCTGTAAAATGCTACCAAGTATAAGATATCATTAATAATTCTAATGTAGGTTGTGTCATGGTAGTTCCAGTTCACAACATGTGAATTGATTTATCTATTAATAACATAGTGCTTACCACTCATATTTTTTCACTTTGGCTTTAAAAAGCAGTCAATTCAATAATATACTCAGATAAAATGTGTACTATATTGGAGTGATTAGAATTTGACTACACTGCTTATAAACTTAGCAGTTTGTCTGCTGAGAGCTGAGGCTTCTGTAGCTAGGAAGAACATTAGAGAGAACCTACTCCACCTCCCTTAGGATCAATAACGATACAGACTCAAAGCATTTAAGTGACTCTCCCAAGTTTGCACAGTTAGGTCGTATAAGGGCTAGGTAGAACTCTTATCCAGATGCATGGACTCTGAGACCAATGTGATTTTCAATATACAATACTGCCTTTCTGGTTTGTCTGTAGTTGGAAAGTATATTCATAATACTGTAACTTATTACATGACTTCTAGTATAAAACTCTGGTTCCAAGAAACTCTAGTTTCATATTAAGTATGCTATAAAACTGATATAGATGAGCTTGGAAATATACTAATGGAACTGAACTCATGAAAAATGTCAAAGTATTTGCTCTACTACACACAAAATGAAATGGTAATTATCTTAACTGTTTTGAATAAGATTTCCAACTTAACTGGAAATGTGTAGATAAGGGATAATTTAGAGGAATTTTTATGACTTGACAGCTCATTTAGATATATACCACCATCATCTTATCTAAAATTTAATGAGACTGAACTTGAACCTATCCATTCTTTCAAATGAGTTTTCATTCTCAACTCCTTATAATCACTATCATTTCAGCCTTTTAAGATAGAAATCTTATGATATCTTTGATTTTTCTTTCTTTCCCTTGATTCCTATTTTTAGTACTTTAGGCCTTAATTTTCCTTCTGCCCTTACTGCTTCCTCTCAGTTCTCAGGTTTAAACTTTAGTAGTGGCATTCTATCATCTTACCTCTGGATTATTAGAGGACTGGGCTCCCAGTACTTTTCTGTGAGATAAATAGTCCTAAAATATTGCTTTCATCTCTTCTCTTAAAAATTCATGTTTTTGGGCTTCCCTCATGGTGCAGTGGTTGAAAGTCTGCCTGCCGATGCAGGGGACGCAGGTTCGTGCCCCGGTCCGGGAAGATCCCACATGACGCAGAGCTGCTGGCCCCGTGAGCCATGGCCGCTGAGCCTGCACGTCCGGAGCCTGTGCTCCGCAACGGGAGAGGCCACAGCAGTGAGAGGCCCGTGTACCACAAAAAAAAAAAAAAAAAAAAAAAAAAAATTCATGTTTTCCTAAAGTCAACGATTTAGCCTTCAGACCACTGCATAACCTGTGCCAGTCTTATCTGTTCAAGTACTGTATCCTGTGGTTTCCCCCCATACACACTCCTAATTGTCCTCCTTGGCTACCACATACAATGATGCCCTGCCCTCAGAACAATTTCTGCCCACTGACAGCATCCCATCTCCAGCAACTTTATCTCTGTTTGATGGCTTCCTCCTGCATCTGAGAATTTGCTCAGCTGCAGGCAGGTACAACCCAACGCAACTTTCATGCAATGGTCAGGGCTAGAAATCAGTGCAATATGTCCCAGGTTCCCCATCCTTGGTGTTGGAGTGAATGATTCTGAAGTTTTTCCACATGCTATCTGTATAAGAAGAACAATGCACCCCCCCAACTCGAACCCCCTCCACCCCAACACCACCTCCTCGCCAAAGATATCACATCCTAATCTCTAGAACCTATGAATATGCTACTTTACACGGTAAAAGAGACTTTGCTGATGTTATTAAATTAAGAATTTTAGGATGGGGAGATTATCCTGAATTATCTAGGTGGTCTCAATGTAATTATAAGTGTTCTTATCAGGAAAAAGAGGGAGGCAGGAGAGTCAGAGAAAGAGATGTGGTAATGGAAGTAGAATGATGCCATTGCCTGAAGGGGGCCCTAAGCCAGGGAATATGAGCAGCCTCTAAAACCTGGTGAAGTCAAGGATTTCTCATACAGCCTCTGGAAGGGATACAACTCCATTGCCACCTTGGCTTTAACCCTATAGGACCCATTTTTGTACCTCTGACCTCCAGAATTGTAAGATGATAAATTTGTTTTAAGCCACCAAGTTTGTGGTAAATTTGTTATAGCAGCGATAGGAAGCTAGTACGGTGTCTCAGAATTCTCTAGGAGAATTAAGCTACAGTTGGCTACACTTCATTGGCTTCTGTCCATTCTCTGTGTCACTTTCTCTCCTTCCTCACATGTGCTTCCAAGCATCACACTCAAACTACCTCCTGCTCAGGGTCTGCTTGTGGAAAAATCTGAACTAAGACATCATTCTCATTTCTGTCTTCCTGCTTTGCCAGCTTTTTTCTTCCTGCTCAGAAAGCTCCCTTCTTCTTTCCTTCAAGTTCCATTTTCTTCAAGGCCAAGCTTATGGGTCACTTCCCTTCTCCTACTCCAGCCCACAAAATCCTCATCTTTTCTTACCTTCCTTTGCTCTGGTCATGAGCATAATTTTTATTCTCTTAATGTTTTACATGATTTTTCTTTTTACCCATCCAATCTACATTTAAGATGCTGAAAGTCTCATTTCTTGGGAGAATGGACCATGTTAGATGGATGAGGCTACCTGAACTGAATAAGAACTTGAGTAACTCTAAGTCAGACTTAAAGGTAAATGTTTATTGAGGGTCTTTTGTATTCTTCCAGTTTGGAACAACAACAAAAGGCCCTCTCCTGAATTCCTGCCCAAAGAGATCTTACATACTTGTGCGTTTGTGTATCAGAACACAGACAACAACAAAACAAATAAGTAAACTATATAGTATAGTAGATGAGGATAATGGCTAAAGAGAAAACTAAAGCAGGAGAAAGAGTATTGAGGTGGGTATGTGATAGTTTTTAGATCATGGGTCAAGGGAAGGTCTTTCCTCACTGAGGAAGGTGAAGACTTGAAGGAGGAGAGGGCGTAAATGCAGAGGATATCTTGGAGAATGTTTAAGGCAAAGACAATAGTAGAGAAAAAACCCTAGACTGAAACGTGCCTAGTGTGTTTGAGGAACAGAAAGTTCCTCAAACTCTGTACCACAGTAAGCAAGGGGAAAGCAGTAGGGGATAAGGTCAGAGAGCTCATGGAAGCCAGATCTATGTAGGGGAAATATACTTCCCAGTTTGCATAGAAGATTCCCAGTTTATGCCTTTTGTCCTGGTATAGTTATCAGTAGTGCCTCTTTTTTACTCTGCTCTGAGGCCATTGTAGGGCTTGGCTTCTATGCTGAGCATGATAATAACTCATGGAAGGGTGGTTTCTCATCAGAGGAATGGCATGATTTGATTTACACTCTGTCAGGATCAATCTGGCTGCCATATTGAAAAAGAGAATAGAGGAGTGCTTCTATTTTGGGGGTGGGGAAGGAAGCAAGGTCATCAGTGGGTGTTAAGAGAGGCAACAAGATGTTGGAAGTTTGAGGAGAAAGGTGTGGAATGGCTGGAAATTGAGATTTGGTGGGTCTGCAAACATCGGTAATATCAAGTTCAATGCTACGACCATGAGGGTGAGTGGTTGAGGTAGCATGAAGGATGACGTCACTGGGGGAGAAGAGGGTCAAGATACCGAGAGCCAGAGTGTTGGAAGGACAAATGTATTCACACAAATATAATTAGACTCATTTTACAAGATCTGTATGATAAAGTAATGGCAGTTAACAGTAAATGCTCTCTGATACAGAATATAATTTCAGATGTGATTTTCTGATATGCTCTTCAAATGCCATCTGCAGATAACTAGAAGAGAATTAAAGAGTGTTAAGTTACAAATGGAGGCTCAAGGGAGGCAGTATGGTGCAGGATCAATTTTTATGTCAGCACAATAGAGTCACTTAATAAAATGTCTCCCCTGTAGTTAAAATTCAGCTGTACTGGTTCATTATAGCTCTCATCTTGTGAAAACAACTGGCAACAAAAGAAAAAAGCATTGGATTTAGTTTTCCAGTATAATTGCACACTATGATTTAGTTTCCAGTCAATTTGTTCTGAAAACTTGGAAAAATAAGCATAGCATAAATCAGTAATGGTAAGATGTGGGAAATCCTGATGATGGTAAAGATTGACATCATCTTTTATAATTTACTGAATTATTATAAATTGTAATTACAGGGTCTGTGTGCTCTTCATGGCATTATGCTGTTACAGTCATAAGCAACCCTCTGAGGTAGGTGTATTTATCCTCATTTTAGGTGACACACTAAATTTCAGAGAGGTTAAATGAATTGCCTGAGTGACTCCACCACTTCTGTCTGATTCTACATTTATTTATTTAATCAACAAATATTCATTATTCATTATGTGGCTATGCTAAACACCAGGGTGGACAAGAAACCCTCACAGTCCTGGCCTTCATATAGGTTATACTCTATCAGGAGAAAATATTTGTGGAACATGCACATATTGTAAAATTATACAAGAATCTATTACATTCATGCTATCAGAGAAGAAGGATTTGACAAATTAATCGATTTACTAGACTCTAATCTCAGAGTTTATGTTGCTTAAACCCTCTCTGCATTCTGAAGCAGCACTGTCCTCCTGCTGTTGGCAGGGGTATAAACAACTATAAACCTTCATGGCATTTGGAGGCCAGCACCTTCTGTTTTGAGGACATATTGGAAGAGACATGGAGAAATGTTCCCTTATGGCCTTCGAGTGTCTATCAAGGAGTACATGTTTAGGGAAATGAGGTGTACTGTGTTAGGGTGAAATGCCTATTCTAGTGACAGAAGCTCCCATGTGTTTCTTAATGTGTTTTGTATGTGTACACGTGTGTGTGTGTGTGTAGTATGGGAAAACATCCAAAGTGATGGGCCCAACAAAGGTTCCTCTCCTGGCTCTAAGGATAGTACTGGTAGAAAATATGACTGGAGAATTATGTAAGACCTTATCATAATCACATCCAAAATGTTGGTTTTCATCATAAAAACAATGAGAAACCATTGACATTTGTTAGGATCGCTCTTGTTGCACTGAGGAAAGGAGACTTAGAGGAGAAATAAAAGTGATTTGCAAGGAAACTAGCTAGTAAGAGAAAATGGTGGCTTGGACCAGGGGAATGGAGATAGAGATGCAGAAGTGTCTATTGATCTAATATTTAGGAGGTAAAATAAACAGACTCACTGATAAATATATATGAGACGATAAAGGAATGGAGAAATCCATGACCACTGTATAAGGATGGGCGGTGGCGCCATTTCTGAGATGGGAAACTCTGGAGGAGGACCAGGTTGGTGTGCAGGTTAGGGCTGTGTTAACCTTTGGGGAAGAAAAAACTTTGAAGTGTTGATTTTGAGGTGATTTTGGGAAAATTGAGTGGAGATGCCAAGTAATCAATTGGTTATAAGGGTCTGAATTTCAAAGAAATGTACATGTATGTGCGAGTCACCCATGTGTAGATGGTAATTGAAGTTACAGACACAGATGAGCTTGCCTAAGGAGAAGGTACAAAGAGAACTTGACACTGATAACTTAGTGTTGAAGAGCACTGATATCTCAAGGCTAAGCATTTCTCACTATTCCCAGTACTACAAATTTTAGTCTAAATTTGCCATCGTCTCCAACCTGGCTTACAGCATCAGCCTCCTAATTGTTCTGGAAGTGACAGTGGAGAACCAGTCGGATACCAACTGTCTTAGTCAGACTGGTGTCTTAAATAACAAAAATTTTTCCTTCCAGTTCTGAAGGCTGGGAAGTCAAGATCAAGGTACTGGCCAATTTGGTTCCTGGTGAGAACCCTCTTCCTGGCTTGCAGATGGCCACCTTCTTGCTTTACCTTCACATGGCAGATGAAAGCTCTCTCATATCTCTATTTATAAGGGCACTAATTCCATTCACGAGGGCTTCATCCTCATGACCTAATTACCCCCCAAAAGCTCTGCCTCCAAATACCATGGCGGCGGCCCCGCCCCCCGCGACGCTACCGGCGGTCACGTGACGGCCGCGCGCGCGTCCCCGGCCGCTGCGGGCCCCGAGGCCGAAGAGAAAAGACTGCGAGGCGACCGCGGCTGTGGCCACAGAGGTGCGAGTAGGGGCGAAGCCCACTTGAGGGGCAGGGTGAAAGTTAGCCGCTCCGGGATCCTAACTTGGGGAGAGAAGTGATGGCCCGCGGTGTCACCTCCAACGGCGACACACTCTGGGTCGGCCCTGCGCTCCGGGCCTGAGAGGGGCGGCGGCGGAGGGGTCAGGGGCCGCACAGGATGATCCAGCAATGGAGGAGAAAATACTGCAAACTGGCTGATTTCTCGTGAAGAAGATGTTTTATTTTTGTGACAGACATTTGTGGAATCTGTAGTAGAAATACATGTGTTCACCCAGTCAGTCTGCCTTGCAAGCATGTTTTCTGCTATCTATGTGTGAAGGGAGCGTCATGGCTTGGAAAGCGATGTGCCCTCTGTCGACAAGAAATTCCCGAGGATTTCCTTGATAAGCCAACCTTATTGTCACCAGAAGAACTCAAGGCAGCAAGTAGAGGAAATGGTGAATATGCATGGTATTATGAAGGAAGAAATGGGTGGTGGCAGTATGATGAGCGCACTAGTAGAGAGCTGGAAGATGCTTTTTCCAAAGGTAAAAAGAGCACCGAAATGTTAATTGCTGGGTTTCTGTATGTTGCCGATCTTGAAAATATGGTTCAATATAGGAGAAATGAACATGGACGTCGCAGGAAGATTAAGCGGGATATAATAGATATACCAAAGAAGGGAGTAGCCGGACTTAGGCTGGACTGTGATGCTAATACCGTAAACCTAGCAAGAGAGAGCTCTGCTGATGGAGCGGACAGTGTATCAGCACAGAGTGGAGCTTCTGTTCAGCCTCTAGTGTCTTCTTCTGTAAGGCCCCTGACGTCAGTAGATGGTCAGTTAACAAGCCCTGCAACACCATCCCCTGATGCAAGCACTTCTCTGGAAGACTCTTTTGCACATTTACAACTTGGTGGAGACAGCATAGCTGAAAGGAGTCATAGGGGGGAAGGAGAAGAAGATCATGAGTCACCATCTTCAGGCAGGGTACCAGCACCAGACACTTCCATTGAAGAAACCGAATCAGATGCCAGTAGTGATAGTGAGGATGGATCTGCGCTTCTTGCGCAACACTCCTTGACCCAACAGAGACTTTTGGTTCCTAATCCCAACCAGACAGTATCTGATCGATCTGATCTATCAGGAACTGATCGATCTGTGGCAGGGGGTGGAACAGTGGGTGTCAGTGTCAGATCCAGAAGGCCTGATGGACAGTGCACAGTAACTGAAGTTTAAGTAAAAAAGTTTTCAGATCCGTGCTCAAGGTAAAAATGGTTATCTGTAAATTTCTGCCCACATAACATTATACTCATCCCTAGTAGTGCATTTTGGGAGTTGGGGTGGGAAGGGGTATGGTAAGGATAGACCTGTAATTAAAATGTCTAACATGTCTCTGTTGAGAAATTTATTTAATATAAGGAACTTGGGTGTTAATAGTTGAGAGCTGTTTAGTAGTAACCCAGTTTTCTTGAGGTCTGTTTATAGTTTTTTTAAATATCTTCAGTTCTTTTGGCCAGCGTGTATTATTTGTGCATTAACGATCCTCATCTGACTCTTGCATTGTCATATTTTTCTGCATGGAATGACATAAAACCATTACTAAAATTTGGCACCTATGAGATGTCTGGGATCAGTATGAACAAGCAGCTTAATTAATGTGAGCATAGATGTGAATTTGGGGTTTTAAAATAGATGAATAACAACTATTTAATAGTAAAGTTACTGAAATGGAAATGTAAAGAAAACAGCTTATAACTTATGTTTCAGAATCTTGTCTGTAACACACTTCATGGCGTTCCCATAGGCTTTGCTGTCTAGTCCTTGTAGTTTGAGGTGTCTTGATCCACATTTTTCTTTTTGATTACAGACTTTATAATTTAATAAATACTAGAGTTTATCAAAAAAAAAAAAAAAAACAAATACCATGGCATTGGGCTTCAACATGTGAATTTTGGGGGGTGTAAACATTCAGTCCATTGTATCAACATGCCCTCTGCACCCTGAGGTACTCAGTGTGAGCCATGTCTTGAGAGGGACACAGAGAAATCGGTACCTTCAGACAAGTTAAGGCCAAGATGACGAGGGGGAAGCTAGGAAAAGAGAGCGAGTACTCAGAGGAATTTTCTGATTATACAAAGGTAATTCCTGATGGCCCAGTGACAGGGTTTGAAAGGTGGAGCAGGTGTGATTGGAGTTTTTGATATTAACCAATGAAAATAATGAAAAGTATGGCAATTTAGTGTCATCAGTCTCTTTGAGGGAGAATACTGGGCTGCGTGTCTAGATAACATTTTTCCAATGGCAAATTTGAATGTAGTTCTTCTGCATTTCTATTCATCAGTGTTCCAAAGTCACCAGACATTTACTGAGTAACTTTTTATGTTAGTAGTTATCAGACTTCACTGTGCATGAGACACACGTAGGGAACATAAACGTGTGGGCTTCCATAGTCCACCTGAAAGTTTCTGTTTTGGAGCATGAGGAGTGAGGCCTGTGAAGTGCTTGAACACACTACATGACACCAGGGCAGGTGGTTTGCCTCGCTCTGTGAGGCAGGCACTGTGCTAGTCTGGTGGAGCACATAGAAGTAAGAGACGTTCCACGCTCTCAGAGGACTTAAAACAGTTTCAATGTCTGGGCTAACAAAGCCTTTCCAGCACTTCATAGAATATTTATTTGAGATTAAGTATAATTAAAATATGCAATATGTAATACAAATGCCTTTTGCACCTATGTAAACTTTCCTGTTAGATCTTTATTTTAAATGATTCTATCATTATTTTCAGTTGTTACTATATTACACAAATATGGGATTATATCACCATCTGATGTTTAGAGTTTCTGAACATTAGCACGAAATGACTTTGGCATTCCATATTTGGTTATTGTGCCTTTTAAAAGGGAATAACTTGGGATCTGTATTTGATATCTGGTGGGTTTCTGATTGATTATTATCTTAACTATTCAGACATTTTGAGACAGCTCATTCAAACTTGGTTATGTTACAAAGACAGTTTGATGAAAACAGAGTAGTTTAACAATTGTATATTTGATATTCTTCTCCAATAAATTAGTTACTTTACCAACTGAAATCTAGGTCGTGCTCATTCTGAAGGAATTGTCTACACATATTGATGGAGGAACTATATTTTTTTCTGTCATGACTCAGATTAGAAGATGATAGGATGAGAAATTTCATACTAAATATGGATTTAAATGTTATTCATTTAAAATTCCTTGGAAAAATAACTCTAGTCATTAAATATAAATGATTACCAGGAAAACAATTTCCTTACTGGGAAGAAAATGTTTATTTCTAGTTCTGAGGAACTCTTGATTGACCTGTCTCTAGAGAGGACCTGGTGAACTGACAAAAGTTGGACAAAGTGAAGTCTGATTAGTGAGCAAGGGTGGTGATAGAGAAAATAGTCCAGACATCTGGATAAATGTATCTGGGAAATGAGAGAACCAATAAAATAAAATAATAACCGTGTTTCCAGTGTTGAAAGAGAGAGCAAATGTTGTAAAACTGATGAACTGCATTTTGATGAAAATTGTTGTGTTGCTTTCAGACATAGTAGGCTTTGTTCTCATTGGCGGAGTTGTCCAGAGACTAGAAGAGGGCATGGGGGTCGCTGCAGGAAGGGCTGTGACCTGCCTCTGAGCAGGTGGTCTGCGGCCTGGCCCAGTGAGCTGTGGGTGAACACATCTGACATTCAAGGACACACCTTATGTAGATAATCTGCAGGTGATTACAGCATGAACCAATAATATATAGTCTCAATTAAAATTCAGTGCAATGTGTTTCTAAGTAGGATGTATTTAATAAATTGGAACATTCATTATTAAATTCTCAATCTTTTACTATTTAATTGACAAATTCACTACTAAACATGGAATGCTGTGAGTATTGTACATACTGAATTCCAGTCCTTTCTCCTCCATCTGCTGTGTCTGGTTCTAAGGCCCAAAGAGTACAGGTCCATTACTGCCCCTGCTTTGAGTTCCCCAATAGAACATGACATAACAAGTCTATGGGGATTAACTGCTCACCCACAATATTACTGTTAGCCTTATTGTCTCCATCTTAGTTTATCTTTATGGGAAGCTTTGAATCCTTTAGGTAAGTCTATAGAATAAACTTCTGATTACTTTTTTAAATCCGGGAAAGATAGCTAAAATAAATGCTAGATTATTGTAATTTATTTTAGGCTGAATTTTACATCAGTATAAGATTATCTCTTTGAATGAGAATGGGAAGCTGTGTAACTTTCCTTAGTCTATTTTAGTCATTTTCATAGTGTGATTTCATTACTGTTTTCAAAATAGTGCAAATTACAAAAATGTCAAACACACACACAAAGGTAAGTACAAAAGGACATTCCAAATTACAATGGAATGTAATGACAAATTACAATAGAGTAATACTATACTGGATTTTTTTATGCCATGGTTTTTGTCCAGTAGCATTTGAAATCTAGTCTTGACTATAAATGTATATATGAAAACTTTGTATATTCATATTTTTTATATATCACAGTGGAAAATATATGAACAGTTGGTATGTATTATGTAGTCAAATAATTATGCAACCTTGCACAAGTCACCTAACTCTCCTGCCAGAAACATTTTTTAAAAGGTCATTCATTTAGATATTTCCTCAAATTGTTTGATATTGCCTGTTGAATCTTTGGTGTGACAAAGATTTTGGAATTATAAATTTTGAGTGGACTTTCAGGTTTTCAAATATAGTAAAATTAAATTAGATTAAAAAATTCTTTTATGAGATTATTCTCAAGGAAACTGAGGCTCAAAGAGATTAATATGCTAAAGTTACACAATGAGAGTCTGAGATTTTAACCACCACTTTTTTTTTTCTAGTGTATTTTTTCCTATTTCTATCTCCTGGAGCTTTCAAAAACTGTAATAGTAATCAATTATTCAAGTTAATACTCATGATATGTTGCCTATGTGACCTTAGACAAATAAAAAAATCATGTTGTTTTATAGAGAAAGACATCGTTAGTTATTTAGGTCATCATTCCCATCACTCTGCGTACTGATCACCTAATAGGAGCTTACCGTGGCAGGAGAAAGAAAATGGGTTTTGAAGGAAGACAAATTTTGGTTTGGAACCTCTTCTGTAAAATGCAAATAAAATGCACTTTTCAGGGCTTTTGTAAAAATTATAGACAGAGTTTGCAAAATTATTGAATCCAGCACGCATTTTACCTCCCTCTACCACTGGCTTCCATCTCAGGGTCCTCTCTCAGAAGCACATCACTCCTCGTCAAGCCTAAATTTCTCTTGTTAAGGCAAAGAGAAATCCAATCATCCTCAAGGAAGTGTTATAGTAATTTTTTTGTGCTTTCAAAAATATTTGCACATTAAAAGAGGACAGAATGGGAAGGGAAAATTTTTTTTTTTAAAGCTATTGGTAATGGTGGAAAACCAGGAACCAGGAAGATGAAAACCAGTTTCCCCTTCCTGGTGTTGTCCAAGCCAGCCCCTGAGCCATCTGCTGGTGCACATGTCAACCCTGTTTGAGGTGTAATGATTCTGATCAGGAAAGAAGCAATGAGATGATAGCACTTATCTTCAGTTTAAGGAAACCAGAAGTCTAAATTACCCTTCCAGTTGCCTAAACCAACACCAACAAATAGCAACCATGTAGCAGTTCCTTCTTTATGAGCTATAGTCTTAAAAAATAGTTTGGATGTGTAGTTGTCTAGCTATTTAAATCTTATAAGAACATGGAATCAGAGAAATAAGCTACATTCCTTCCCATTTTTCATTGTGTATTCTGAGTCCATGAGGCTTGCTGGTGGTTTTGCTAGGGCTACATTTCTGATAAATACTGAGCCATTATTCTCAAAGGTCAGCATTTATTTGTGGATGCAAAGCTTTGTGTAGCATACAGGCTGTTAGTGAATGTAAAATCCTTTAAGCTTTTTGACTTTTCTTTCCAAACTTTTGGCACCACTTTGTGTATTTGATGGCATGGTTTACTGTTCTTGAAAAGGAACTCAGTGGTCTGGGGCTGCAACTAAACTTGGAGAGCTTGGTATAGATCTGGGTTCTAGGGCTGCAAATAAACTGTCTTTATGTCATCCAAACATTGAATGTAATGGTAATTTTATGAAAGCAAATAAATCCAGAAACCAGAACAAGCTTTAAAACTCACAAATATATAAGATTTTAGATGGAAAGAGGTGCCTATTTTAACTGGAAGCATTTTTTTGCATGAAATATTTTGAAAAATATACAAGTTATCAGTTTTTCCAAAAATTTTCACAAGAATATTTTTGCAAAAGTTCTACCAAGAGCGTGTACATATTTTACACATGTTTCCATTATGTGATGGGAAGGCAAACAGTGGGTTTGAAAGCCAAGGCCAGTGGAGATGATTGTGAAAACTTGTTGTGTGTCAGACAAATGTGGGATTACACAGAAAACTTGTGTTTTGCTGAAAGGTTTGTTTACGGAATCTTCCTACTATAGCTCTGCTCACTGAGTTAGATGATTTCTAGGTAGTTCAATCTGGAATTCTCCAAAATTTTACCCTTATACATAGCTCCTAGGAGAAATCAGAATCCTGTCCTCCCCTCAATTAGAGTCAAGTGCTCTCTCTTATCTTGGTTATGTTTTCTGATTAAAGGAATTTTAGAAATGATATCACAGAGACAGCATATCTGTGGCTCAAGGCTTTTGGAGTCAGCCTAAGACTGAATCCCAGCTCTGCCTTTGATAGGCTTTATCACAGTGAGCAAGTTACTTGATATTGGCAAGACTCAGTGTGCTCATCTGAAAAATGGAGATAATAATATTTTGTACCTCCCAGCATTTTCATGAGAAATAAATGAGATTTTGCATGTTAAGCATGTAGTAACTGGAACATATTAGTTCTATA